GGATTTGATAACTGACCTAAGCAAACGTCATTTGAATACATGTGAAAAGTTTGCGAGTAAGATCCGCATCGACTCCACACATCCGCTACACGCTGACCTAACTTCCAGTTGTTCCCATCCTTCAACTAGATCACATAACGGAGACCGACGTAACTGAGTAATGGGTATGATTGATCCACACATTTGAGTGCGTGTATGCATGGGAACGTTACTAATCAACCAACTGTGTGTTGACTCTACTGTTGAATTCGACTGAGTCTCACAGTGCATTATGAGTTGATAAAATGGTAGATCCGGTTGAAAATGAGGTGCCATTGTCCATGGATTTTGGTGTAGTCGTCAGCGACAACTCCGCATTATGGTTCGGTCGGAAAAAAGAGCATTAGGAATGGATTAGAGCACCAACATGACATTTTGAACAGCTCTCCGAAAGCATTTTCAATCAGACTAATAAAATTGTGCATCCCGCAGGTGTAGTGCCTTTTTTATGCAACCACAACCATCCTAGGCACGTAACCAAGCCTGATAACATACTCGTTGTGAAAGCGGAAGAGCGCATTCCGGAGTAGTTGCACTTTGTAGAAGATTTCGTTGGGATCCTTGAACACGATGAATTCGGTACGACACAACACGAATGGGCACTGTTTGTCGAAATCCATGCCGTTTTGCTTCCATTGTTCTCATTAACAAAATTGTCTATTCGCAAGGTAAGCAATGTTAGAGCTAAACTACAGTCATAAAATATGAGTCATTTCGTACCATAGAATGAGTACTTATGTACTCAATCGCTTTAGACCAACCGGAAAAAGGTAAATCATTCCCGATGAAGCCGCACCACAGATACACACACTTGTCATCGCGCAGGTATCATGATCTGCATAGTAGCACTGTGATGTCGCAGATTACGTACGGACTCAAACACACTAAAACCTCAATCAGATCGAGTTTATTTTGTGCAGTGCAGTAGATCAATATCGTTTTCACAACCGGCTTAGTCATAAGCAAAACCGATCCGAAGCTGGGGCTGAAAGTAGTTTTACTATACTCTCACTGTATCATATGTATATTTTCCACAACAAATAGTATATGAATCACTCAACGAAATCTCCCAGAAAGCACACGATCGGTTTCGCAGTTCTTGCCGCTCGTCAGACACGCGTATCCGGTAATATTTTGCCAGTTCATGCACACATTTGTACCCAGGAAATGTATTTCCATCACAATGACCTCGTTTGCAAATTTGTTTGGACAGCTCTTTCGGAACTTCGTCTATGTCAATCAGATAACCTCGCTAGCGAAGGCCATCTCGCTGCATGACTTACAATGCCCTATATATATATA